TAGCTGGTTTCTTTAAGAAGGGCTTTCATCAATAAATTGCCACTCTGTTTACAAAGATGCATTGATTGCATGGCTGATTACTTCGATTAAAACAAATAAATAAAATAAAAAATAGATGAAAAAAAATCGTTTCTAATTTTTTCACACAAAACTGCAATTACATAGAAATTTAAGCAAACTTCAGCTTTACTCCAAGGTACATAAGAGTTATCTATAGTCTTTAAAGTTTTGTTTACACCATGCGGTTTCTTCATCGTTCTGCTTCATAGGAATCTAATTTTCAAAATAAACACAGATCTAACGTCGGTAACCGATCTAACAGACTGACAGACAATTTGCTTCACGTAGGTACTAAAGGCGAATGTTTACTATAGACAAAAACCTTACTTTTGACTTCACTAACTACAGAGTTAAAAAGTTTTAATCCCTATCTATATTTGTCTCTTGTATCTATACTTAGGAAATAAACACAAATTTACACCTGTAAATTTTCTATGAAACATTACTTACCCATTATTGCCGGAATCGTGTCCGAAAATAGATGCTTGCGGTCATAAGTCGACAAGGGAATCTATTTACGTTGTTTCTATGGGGACTGGGGACTAGGGAGTGGCGTGGTGACGTCACCGTGACCTCGCCTGCCCAGGGTGCGCCGCCACCCTTCAGCGGGAATCCCAAACATCCCGCATTTCACGTATGTTAAACCCGAATGTTATTTAATTTATTGTATTACCAAAATATCACGCGATCAAATGCGTTATTCAAATTACCTTAATTGACCCAGGCCGTTGCTTTATTTCAAATAAATTGGTCTGTAAACAGTGAATAATTACTCTAGTGTTTAATAACTTAATATTTTTTTAAGTAATTGCTTGAAATGTCTATCCATTATACTTGAATGGTTCATTTTATGTAGAACCTTTCATGCGACTATCTTCAGCGTTATCGCTGGTTATCTATGCACTGGAAACGCTATCATTTACATATTTCAGTACCTTCATTCTTTACAGTAAACACACATTACAATGTGCAAATAAATGTAGAGATTAACTTTAGAAATTGCTGGGTTTTATGTTCAACAATTACGTACTTTAAACGCCTGTGACGTCAGAATTGTTAGTGCAACGTGTTATTAAATGAGCCGATAATGTTGTATGTTATTTGTTAAAGTATGTATCTGTCTATAATGCCTACGATAATAAACCCTACAAACTAAATGGCACGAAATAATGGATGATGATGTCCATCAAATTGCCTTTCGCTGTCATACTCCAATTTGGGTCAGTAAAGGTACAGTCTATTGTTCCTATGTAGGGTAGTAACCCACCCTGCTAAGTGCTATACCTTAAACATATTATACCAGCTTCTTAGCAGTCAAAGTGACCTATGGTTAAGTGACTTTAACGTTTTATTACTTCATCTTACAGAGTAGTTTTGTTTAGATGTTCCAATTTAAAGACAATTTGGTAAACAGTGCATTATGAAGAAGCTAGCAAGTCTAGCCTTGCCTAAGTTACATGGAAAAAGAAGAATAGCCGTGGACTAGGTGACAGGAAGGTCGCATGAGCAGTAACTTCAAAGTATTCCAGTAGTTAGATTGTAGTTAAATACGAATTAAAAAGTCAGCCTGCCTGTTTTAGTGAGATACGAATTGTAGTTAGATATGAATTAAAAAGACTGCCTCGTTGGCCGAGTGGTCGTAAGTGCGACTGGCTAAATAATACTACCAGGTTAAAAAAAAAATCTCAGTAGCAGCACGGAGTCTGAATTGTGCCCGGTATATGGCAATAGGCTCACCCCCTATTACATGGGACTCATAACATAAATAGTGAAAAGTGGGTGTTACATTGTACAGTGGCATAATGTGCACCTCTGCCTACACCTTCGAGGATAAAAGGCGTGATGTTATGTTATGTAAAAAGTCAGCTACTGTAAATATTTAGAGCAAATACGCACAATGGAGTATTTAATCATCTGCTAAAGTAATTTATTCATTCCAATTTAACACACACGCCACTAACTTTAAAATACAAAGTAAATCTTACTCTAAATGAAGTGTCAAGGGACCAAACAGGTGGCGTGTTATGCCCAACGTGGCCATCTCTGAAAATTGTTGTTTGAAAGCTTTGCCTCGTAAAGATAAAATATGTTGCCAGAGCTGTTTGTTCTGTCGTTGGGGATTTCGAGGGAAAATCCTGAGTGTGCTCGTGGAACGAGATTTTCAGAATAAATTTCGCACACTGCATTTACTTTGGATATTATGTTTATGTAGATGATATTGGGCTTTATTGTAGAAATATCGGGCTTTGCTTTGAATAACGTGGCTTTGGAAGGTGTAACATGTTGAAAGATGTGACATAATTACGTTGTGGTAGCACGGAGGCTTAAGACGTCCGACGGCAAGGACCAATGTGACTTTCCGAGACACCACTGACAAAAGGTGAAGGAGAACATCGTCAGGAAACCTGAGTCCTTAGTACGAGTTTGATTTACGTTTAAAGTATTCGAAACGAGTACGCGTTCGACACTCTGATTGGCCGGCGCCAATAAACCAACCAATTAGAGCGCCGAACGCGTACTCTTTACGATTACTTTAAAAGTTTAAACAAACTCGTACTAAGGCCTCTGGTTTTATAATTTCCTATTATAAGGCAATCGCCAACCCGCATTGAGCAAACGTGGTGATTAATGCTTAAACCTTCTCCATGTGAGAAGAGGGATTTGGTCAGCAGTGGCCACTTATAGGCTGTTGATATGAGTTATGTGTGTGTGTGTGTGTGAAAGATGTATTGTTTATCATATTTGAAAGTAATTGATTTTATAATCTTCTTAACAATGAAAATAGTGAAAAATTCTTACATTCTAGCAAGCAATACTTTGTTATTGATACTCTGCATTGGAACGTAACTGTTTATCTGATGGTATTTCGAGCCCATGTGTATTAAACAGTAATCGTTTGAACCGAGAACTTCATAGTATTTATATCTTAGCGACTTCGGTATGGTAGCCTAACTCAGTAGCAGCAATGAAAATTAACGAATTAAATTTTTTTCCACTACATTTTGATAAGCGATTATGTGTTTCAGTACAATATAAATAAGACTATAATTTGACTAACATCATATTTATATTGTAGATAACTTTTGTGAGACATATTAAATTCATTTTTATTATGTTTTCGGCTTACTCACGTAATTATTTGACTAGGAACTCGACTATGCTAGAAGCTCATATTCATGTGCAGCATACCGCGACCCGCGACTCGGAATTCCTCGTCTCATAATTACGTCAGTTAGCCGAAAAACATCATCATCATCAACAGCCTATAAATGCCCACTGTTGAGCAAAGCCTCTTCTCACACGGAGAAGGTTAGAGCGTTAATCACCACGCTTGCACAATGCGGGTTGGCGATTTCAAACTTATAATTAGAAATTATAAGTCCAGGTTTCCTCACGATGTTTTTCCTTCACCGTTTGTCAGTGGTGTCTAAATAATCTTAGAAAGTACATATAACTCGAAGTACATATAACCGAAAAACATAATAACAGTATATTGTAGTGATATTGATACGATTCAGTCTAATATAACCAAAAGTCTCGTCACGATTGACCTTCACGCATGATTTCATGATGTGAGCATTCTGGTCTGTATTTAACCGCTCTGCTGAACACAGTGATTGCTATAGCTGATATCATTTATAGACAAATATAGTTCGCATGACCATACTGATACAAAAATGCCAAAATAATCATGTGATCCTGTCATGTGTAAAATGTCAAAAATGTTTAGTAAACTAGTGACAAATTGCAAGGGATATCTCTGCTGCACAGCCTGCTCTGTATGTCCTATTGTGCTTCAAATTAGGTTAGTCTTAATACTCAAAATATATACAAAAACTTAAAAAGATATGCTGGATATGTTACTATACTTTATTCACAACTAAACATAGGAACCTATCATCAGGACATGGTCCAAATGAATGTAGGCGACACCAAAACAAATACTAAAGTTGATTTGGTCGAACAATCAAGTTGAAACTAGGTGAGATACTCTCCAAACGATTGGCTATATTTTGTTGGTTGGATAACTGAGAAAGAACTAGATTTCATATTTCAGAATGGCCGGGAGAGACTTAAATTAAACTTTTATAGGAGACTTTCTATATCAAGTGTTGGTACAAGGTATAAAATACAATCTTATAACAAATAAAAATAAATTTAAGTACATACATTATCTTTACAAAACACTTTCTTTATTAGCCAAGATAATAACGTGATTGACTACTTTTCCTGCTTCGTGAGTACCCTTGGTTTGACAGTTGGACGTAGTAACTAATAATTATGCGAGGCAAGCCATCACGTGGATCGCGCAATCAACGAAATTTCATTTAGTAACGTGTCCTCATGTTTGTTCGTATGTAGGTCAGTGCGACGTGGAATAATGTTATTTAGAGACTATATATCCTATTTTATGAGTAGTTTTCTATTTAAGACCGTTTGAGAAGAGCAGTTAGGTATAATTAAGTTACAATCATAAAACATGTGTAATCATATCTGATTTAAATTAGAAAACTATTCTGAGATGCGGTGTAAAGGTATTCGAAAACAAGCTCTCTCGTAATTATAAGATGCAGTAATGCATGCATTAGTCTCAAATAACTTTGTGTAATTGCAACTGGGAAGTAATTGGACATCTAAATATTGTCTGCGCAAATGTAGATAGAGAGTATTGTGAACACGTTTGTTGCCCATTGTGGTGGAGCCTTCGCTTTTCATTTCAATTGATGGATCTGGTAGATCCTGTGTCTAAGAATGTTTAGGAAGATTTATACACGTCTTATGCATCATCGAAGGATGAAGTTTCCATTTATTACAAGAACAAGTCACTCACAGCATTCTTTTATTTTATAGTTTTAAAAATACTTGTGTCGAAATCATATGCGCAATTAAGTTCTGGTTTGTTGATTTTTTGCTGACCAATCTCTTTTCCTTGTTCACAGGAGGGTCCTCACTCCACACTGCCAGACGACGAGTTCTACGATGCAGTGGAGACAGGGTTCGACAAGATGGAGGAGGAGCGGTGTGCACGCGTGGTGCCGCCTAGCGTCCACACGAGGGACCAGGTGGAGCTGCCACCGCCGGCCATTGACAACAGACTTACCGTGCATCCTTTATGGCCTGAGGTGAGAAAATGTAGATAACAAGGACTTACTGTAATGAAGACACTAAAAGTGAAAATATGTTTGTCCTTTAGTGGAGTTATTTGTTGAAGCGAGATTCTAATGGAAACGAAAGAGCTAGAAACTCGATGTTGTCTTTGTACTTTTTGAAAATCTCTGATGTAATATTTTCAATTTCGGTATTTATATTCAAAGCCTTAACAACATTTGGTTAGATATATCAGCTATTGAACTTTGTGACAAAAATCCCTGTTGGATTTCTTCTATGGCGATGACTATTCGTGACTCCATTAAGTTATTTCGAATTTCAGTTAATTATTCCCTTAAAATCTACCTGATATGTACTGTAAGTCACCGTAAACATAAGTATTTCTGCTAAATACAGACTCATGTATTTAGTGTTCCTTCCAATCGTTTGTTTAACCACTGAAAGTCATCGGCTTACTAGGGATTACATGAACCGTGTTGGGATTATTGTACTATTATCCGGATCAAGCCTTTCCAAGTCTGTTCCATTTAGGTGATGCCCCAAAAACTTAATGCCAGCTAAATGACTAGAGGTCAGACGTTTATGATGAAAATACCGCGGTATTCAAATACTAGGTTAATGGTCTGATAGGGGGAAACGGTTCGTTTATCTTTTCTAATGACATAACAGGTGTCGGAGGTATAATTAATGCTTAACTTGCAATGACGTATTGTTTTGACTGTGTTTCAGTAGTGGCTCTTTGAATAGACACATTTTTAATTTGAAGAGGTCCCGGTTGAGGCTATTATACAAAATTTTCAATTTAAAGAGGTTAAACTAGTTTTAAAACCTAATAGTGCCTGGGGTAGGCAGAGGTGCACATTACGGCACTTAATGCTACTGTACAATGTAACACCCACTTTTCACTATTTATGATATGAGTCCCGTGTAATATAGACCCTATTGCCCTAGGCCTATACTGTTTCGTTGGCAGAGTGGTCGCGTGCGACTGCCGGGCAAGGGGTCTCGGGTTCGATTCCCGGACCGGGCAAAGTATTACTGGGTTTTCAAAAAAATCTTAATAATAGCACGGAGTTTGGAATTGTGCCCGGTATATTTATAAGATCAAAATTAAGCAATATAGTATTTTTGTTTCCAGATCGACAGGATATCAACGGAACAGATCCAAGCCGCGTTCGAAGGTGTGGGCGGTGAGATAGGATGGCAGTTGTTCGCCGAGGAGGGCGACATGAGGATGTACAGGAGGTACGTGGAAACTGTTACTCAGAGTGGGTATGTGGCTCTTTGTATTTGTACCGCTTTGCTTAGGACTTGCACAGTTATGCTGATGTCTTGACTGGATATCTATATGTAGCTTTATATAGTTTGTTTTGGCTTGTAGCTTACGAGTTTGTTTTTTTGGGATAAATAGGGAAACGAGCAGGGATAAACCTGATGGTAAGCAATCGGCGTCGCCCATGGACACCTGGAACACCAGAGGCGTTGCAAGTGCGTTTACGGCCTTTTGGATTAGGAATTTGAGGATTCTTGGGGAAGGGGAGAGGGGATAGGGGGTACAAGCGTTGTTTCATGTCGGTTTTCTGTGAGGCCGTAGATCACTCCGGTCGAGCCAGCCCATTCGTGCCGAAGCATGGCTCTCCCACACTTAAAATCTATTATTATTATTATTATTTTATCCTGTTTCTTTTTTAGTTCTTTGTTGTCCTTTGGTTTTTTAGTGAGTTGATATAAGCGGAACTGATTGCTAATCATTAGGTGATCTCTCTGTTCGTTTGCCTCCTATTCTAAAGGGAATTGTAAAATGGACTGTTGGCTTTGCATTTTCAAGTTGTGAGTTGGCGGTGCATGGTTGAAGGTGCCTGTAAAAATAATAGTAAATTCCAATGTCATTGCTATGTTCTTCCAGGGAGATGGAGGTGGACGGCATGGTGACGGACCCGCTGAAGGCGATGCACAAGGTGCGCGGAGTCACTGCGCGCGAGATGTGCCACTACTTCTTCAACCCACGCTACCGATACGAGTGGGAGAGTGAGTGTTATAACTATTTAACTTTTTAAGTAGTCCGAATTTTTAACATAACATATCATCACTCCTTTTACGCCCGAAGGGATAGGCAGAGGTGCACATTCTGGCACTTAATGCCACTGTACAATGTAACACCCACTTTTTACTATTTATGTTATGAGCCCCATGTAATAGAGGGTGAGCCTACTGCCATATACCGGACATTTCCAGACTCCGTGCTACTACTGAGATTTTTTTTAAAACCTAGTAGTACTTTGCCCGACCCGAGAATCGAACCCGAGACCCCTTGCCCGGCAGTCGCACTTGCGACCACTCGACCAATGAGCAAAAGAAGAAATAACAATATCTAATAACAATATTCCATTCCAGCTACCCTGGAAACGATGACGATAGTGGAGGAGATAGCGTCAGACTCGCTGGTGTTCCACCAGACGTTCAAGCGGATCTGGCCAGCCTCGCAGCGGGACGCGCTGTTCTGGTCCCACGTCCGGCAGTCCAGCGAGAACACGTACGCTGTCACCAACCATTCCACCACGAATGCTGATTATCCGGTTAGTACTTTTAATCCATTGAAGTATATATTTATAAATAACCTTTTGCCCGCGACTTCTTACGCGCAATCCCGGTTTTCCTGATCTCGTTCGTGATTGAAGAAATAAGACGCTAGACATTTCCAGTATTAGTATTAATAAATGTTTATTGATGTATTGACAATAAATTAAAACTAAAATCACTTAAATTAAACCAGTACATTTTTATTTATTATTTTTTTTGTAGTTCGATCGGCATTTTTGGCACCAAGACCGAAAATGTTTAATATCTCAGAAACTAGCCACTTTCGGACCAGAGACCTCAGGGCTAATTTTGTAGGAAATTAGTTGTATTATCTCCTCCCGAGAGGAATACGACGAGGTACAAGTCACCCTGTATAGATGTTTTGTCTGTGAAATATTCTTGACGGCACGGTTGGTGCGGTGGCTGGGCAACCGGCTGCCGTGCAACGTGTCGCGGGTTCGATTCCCGCACGGAACAACACTTTGTGTGATCCACAAATTGTTGTTCCGGATCTGGGTGTCATTGTGTATGTGAACTTGTACATTTGTAAACGCACCCACGACACAGGAGAAAATCCTAGTGTGGGGCAACGTTTTTATAAAAAAGAAAGAAAAAAAAAGAAAAAGATTTTTAAGTAGGTATACATAATTATGGAAAACGATTAGGTACTGAATTACTTCATTCAGATATTTAATTCTAAATCGTAGTACAGTAATGTTACATATTCTCCAGTCTCTTTCTATATCCCTAGCTAGATGATTGGCCTGATCCAATAGTAACTGATGTCTGACATAGATTTTTTGTTCTTCACAGATCTATTTTACAATTTAAAGGTACTGGCTGACAAAATGTATTACTAATTGTTGAATGGTTCCAGGCGAACAACGGCGCGTGTATCCGTCTGTTCGTGACGGTGTGCCTGGCGTGCCACACGACGTACCCGGCCGGGGAGACTCCCACGCGGGACAACATCACCACCAGCATCGCTTACTGCAGCACTGGTATGTACTTGTTATATCTTCTATTATTGTTAGTATCATTATCGTCGTGGTTAGCCTCTTTAAAAAGGATTATATTTAGCAGTAGATGGAAATGTTGGCATCGACGTCCTTGAGCATTTCATTCGTAATTGTGACTCGATCATGGGGAAAAATAGTAGAAGCTGTACATTGATAGTTGGTGATTTTAACATGAGTTGTGTGAATTGGATCGAGCGTGGCACTGATGGTTCATGCTCGGCCTCTTCTGGTGGTTCAGGCAACCTCAAAAATGTATTGCTTGATTTTATGGCATTATACGGCTTCAAACAGTTTAACTGGATAAAAAACTTTCAAAATAAAATACTTGACTTGGTGCTCTGTGATGCAGAACAACTACGTATAGATAATTGTCTCGATCCCATAAGGGAACTGGATAAGTTCCATCCAGCCATTGAAATTGGGCTTCATCTTCCTGTTATCTCTATAAACCATTCTAAGCAAATTAGTAGGCCCAATTACCATAAAGCTGATTACAATCTCATCATCGAGGCCCTGGCCGAAATTAATTGGGATACTGAGTTTTCTACCTGCAATGATGTGAATGATATGTTGAATGGGTTTTATGATGCTGTTCACGGCGTAATCAATAGACATGTGCCAAAAACTAAATATAAGAGAGGGCGGTATCCTTCATGGTATACGCATCAGTTAACGAAATTACTCAAAAAAAAAACAAAATTACACAACTTAGTGAAAAAGTATAACAATCCGTTGGACATTGTAGAATTTTCTTATCTCAGAAAAGACTGTCACAAGTTGCAACAAAAGTGTTATAACGATTATTTGTGTAAGATTGAGGATAAAATAAAAAAGCATCCAAAATTTTTTTGGACACACATTAACAACCTCCGAAAAAGTAATACGTCTTATCCATCTGAAATGACATTAAATGATGCCAAAGCCTCCGATAACAGAACTATCTGTGATTTATTCTCACAACAATTTTCCTCGGTATACTCCTCACCTGGACAGGGGCGGGTTAACCTTCGGGGTGTTTTCTTAGACGTCTCAATCCCTGTACTGCCAATAAATGAATTCTCAATCTCACCTGAGTCAGTCTTCACAAAACTGTCTGGCCTAGACATACACAAAGGTGCCGGACCTGACAATATACCCCCAGTATTTTGGCTAAGATGCGCACGTTGTTTGTCACTGCCTTTGGCAAACATCTACAACATGTCACTTCGGACGGGTATTTTCCCAAATAAGTGGAAACAGGCTAGGATTATACCTATATACAAAGGTGGAAAGCGCGACATGATTTCTAACTATCGGCCCATCTCGATTCTCTGCGCCCTGTCCAAGGTTTTTGAATCCCTTGTCTACCCGGTACTGTATGATCATGTTAGAATGTATCTGTCCAACAGCCAACATGGCTTTACTGTCAAAAAGTCTACGAATACAAATCTGGTCGCTTACGTCACTGAAATAATATCAAAACTTGATCAGGGTCTCCAAGTTGATGCAATATACACTGATTTTTCCAAGGCCTTCGACAAAGTTAACCATGTAATTTTGTTACATAAACTCAAATCCTTAGGCGTTGTTGGTACCATGCTCAAATGGTGTAGATCATATCTCGAACACAGATCGTCCACAGTAGTGGTAGATGGCAACGAGTCGGACCCGTACTTTGCCTCCGCCGGTGTACCGCAGGGATCTAATCTGGGGCCTTTGTTCTTCAATATTTTTGTTAACGATATTACACAAGTATTTAAAAACTCCACAGCTTTTCTATTCGCGGATGACTTGAAACTGGCGCGTGTTATTTCAAGTGAAACTGATATTCTTTTACTACAATCAGACATAGATAGTCTAAGTCAATGGTGTGCCGATAATGGGATGTATCTCAATTGTTCTAAATGCTACCATATTAAGTTTACTAGAAAGATTAACAAGATACAGTCTTCATATAATATCCAGGGGAATAAACTGTCTGAAGTTACATTAATCAGGGATTTGGGAATTACTTTGGACAGCAAACTTACCTTTGTTGAACATATGGATAAAATCCTGAACTCGGCGTATCGCGCCCTTGGTTTTGTTCTGCGGGCATCAAAGGAGTTTAAAAGACCTTCTACCACCCTACTGCTATACAATAGCTACGTGCGAAGCCAGTTAGAATACTGTAGTGCGGTTTGGAGCCCATCGTACCAAGTCCACATCGCTCGAATCGAGAAAGTTCAGAAAAAGCTCCTTAGCCACTTGGCCTTTAGATTCAAATTGAGAAATTCTAGATCTTACGAGGATAGGTTGAATTATTTTAAACTCACTGATCTCAAGTCTCGCCGCATCATGCTTGATCTAACATTTCTATACAAGTTGCTTAACAATGGAATGGACTGCCCAGATCTTCTAAATAAGATTTCTATCAATGTGCCTTCCAGAGTACCTCGCCACCCCCGCCCATTGCTTGAGCCGCCGAGATGCCGAACAAACTTGAAAAAACATTCACCACTAGTTAGGATGTCAAACCTGTATAACACCGTAGCTTGTAACTCCACGGAAATTGATATTTTCTCCAATAAACTGGGGAAATACAAATCCCTGCTTCACACATTGCTCACTGATACATAGGTGCTGAAGTACCTATACGTTAATTTATTTTCTTAATTTAATTTATTGTCTTTTTATTACCATTGTTTTCTGTTTGCATCGTTTGTTTTGTTTCCTGCTTTGACAATTTTCCATTTTATATTCAAAATTACGATTTATTTTGTTTACATGTCGTGATCTCCTTTAATTGGAGAAGCACAAGGTATCTGTTTATTGTATTAACACTGTGCATGTTACGTGTATTCTCTGTTGGAGATCCTTTTTAAATAAAAATAAAAATAAAATAAAATAAAATGATTGATGAAAAATCTTTGAATGTTTTTATAATAACTATCGTGAGACATACTAAATTAAGTAAAAACGCGGGTTACTCACGTGAATATACCGAGAAAAGCTCTACTAGTTTCGAACCACAGAGAAACTAGTAGAGCTTTTCTCAGTATATTCACGTGAGTAACCCGCGTTTTTACTTAAATCTTTGAATGTTTTGAAGTGGTTTTTATTACTAGAAAGTGAACGAGACAAACATCACTATGCTTAACCCCTCAATTGTAACAATAGTTTTTGCTATCAACAGGGTTAGCAATAAAAAATCTTGTCTAAATCACATAGCTATAAAGATTTTAGTATGTTTGTCACATCTCAGTGGGGAAAAAGTTTATTATCCGTCTCCTTTAGTTACTAATAAATATTTTCACGTTCCAGTAAACCCAGGAGGCTGGGCCCCGGCCGGCGTGCTGCGCGCAGTATACAAGCGCGAGTATCCCAAATTCCTGAAGCGGTTCACCAGCTACGTGGTGGAGCAGTGCCGCGGCAAGCCCATCGCCATCTAGCGGCAACTACTCGCAACATGGCGCTACACGTGACTTATACAACACGTACACGCACTACTACGCGTACCTTCGAATAATTTATACTTCTCAGTCAAACGCCTGACTTCTTCTATCTCTTCGTCGGAACTGAGAACTATTCATACCGAAGTGTAGTGCAATTAGACGTTAAATAGGTGTTATATAATGTTAAAGGTTTTATTCAGGGTGGAGTTAGGATTCCCGTTTCATTGTACTCCGTTAAATTATACTTTCTTCGCGATCTCTGTACCGTCCCGGTCTGGCATTCACACAAAACTGCTGGAACATTTTTCGTTTGAAAACAGACTCGGGCCCAGCAGTTCGAATTGAGATTCTTTTTTACTGTCATTGTCTAAGACGAGAGAGATAACGTCATACGTCAACTGTGCGTTAGACAGAGAGCAAACGTCGTGTCCGCCTGTTATACGCTAAATATCTTGTTCATTTAACATCTTATCTAACAGTACTTGTGTATAAAAAGATTGAAATAATCGTGCTGGATAAGATTTCGTTGCTAAACACGTATATGATCAAAATATTTTCAATTGGTGTTATGTCGGATAAATGTTTAATTTCTACGTTATTTCTGTCTATATGTAGAACACCTTCGATAATCGACAATAAATTCGTGTCGAATGTAAAGTTCCCATTAATAAATGTAAATCGTACTTTAATGTGTAATTAGAACACTCTGTATGATATATAATATATGTATCTACTATGTCATTGGGTGTTATGGTAATTATGATAAAATTTATACAACGTAATTCTATAAATAAAATGTATTCATTATAACGAATCTATATATAAATGGGGGCTAAAGTTTTCTTATTCACTAGATGGCCCAAATGTAGAAGGGGTTTTTGTTCAATTACAGCAGCTGTCAAATATTGAACGTCCAATGGTAACACTAGCTAATTCCCTATTGGACGAAGAACGCGCTCACACTAGCGCCATCTAGTGAACGCGGTTGGCACCATTGTTCTAAATTAAAAGCGATGTTGTGAAAAGATATTTGTAAAGCACTTTTGACTGCTATTTGTTCGTTCATTTTCTTCGATTAAATAACACGGTATTGGTAAGGCTGTACACTTAACTGTAGTGAGTATTGAAGCTTTTATTGTGAAAATATATGAGAGAATAATACTTCGACTGTATATTGATAGTGTACATGCATTAAACATAGGATATGAGAACTGTTAAAAGGACTAAGTAAGAGTGACACTCAAGCTTGGTTTTCTTACCGACTGATGTAAAACTTGTCTATAAAAGTCTTTGTAAATACTTACGCGTCGGATGGGTACTGTAGATAACATATTTCTTCAATTCACAAATTGTAAAACAAGGAATCTCTAGCGAAAATTCTTTTCGATGCGCGTGCAAGTACCTGACGTAGTGTCACGCCGATATGAACCTTATGGCTGAACAATGTTATACTAATTATTGAAAAGATTTTATAGCAAGCATGTTTTTGTCTACGGAAGATTAGTACTTATCTTTTATAGAAGGACTTGGAATGTTTTTGATGAAGAGGGTAATATTCGGGTGGTGATAGTTGTATGTGTTCAGTTAGATAGTTCGCGAAAGAAAACATGTACTTTTGCACTTTCTGGGCTGTGAACTCGGGAAGCGAGCCCGGTCAATCAAAATGACATCAAAACCTAAAAAAAATAAGGTCCAAAGTCCTTTGAATGTGTCCCCGTTCGTGTTTCTCGAGGTCACGGCCCCAAATCCATTTCATGTACAGGGTGGAACTAAATAATTGTAGTTCTTAATATTATATCAACTATGTTATTTCGGTTTTTGACCAAATAAATTTCCTTGTCGCTTAAATTTAATGTGACACAATTTTATTTAAATATTTCATTAATTATTATTGTTACCGGAATTGACATTTTTAATTGTTAAATGTATGATTATTTGTTGTAAAATTGAATGTATTTGAGTCGTTTGTTTGGTCAAAACTTAATTTTGCACGAATTTTGATAGTGTTACTTGCGTCGTACTGTCTATTATTTTAATTACTTTGTATGCAAACTTCCATTCCAGCTTTTTGTATCGAATATCTGATTTTGTATACATTTTAAATTAGGTTTAATAAATGGTTACTTGAATGAACTTCAAATATATAGTATTGTACAGAATTTCACGTTTTGTCTCAAAGTTAATATATTATTTGCTGTTATGTGACGGTGAACTGGTAACTTTTTTGTTCGACGTAGTAAAAAAGTTAACAGTGACGTCACGTCCTTAATGAAAAAGTTAAACGTGAGCGGAAGTGTAAGGAAATTGCATTTATAATACCGCAATGTTGCAATTGTATTAAGTTCATATAACTTAATGTGTTTTTTTAATAATTATTGTTTATAATAAAATGTTTTATGGACAGTTTTATCTTTTATTTATTTTTATATCTCCTACAAAATACAAATTATCCAATCAAATATCATTATCTAACGCTTATCTGCCGGCTATGAGACACATTAGAAAACACATTGTGTCTCGCGTAGACGTACGTGCGGCATACCACGGGTTAAAAATGTAAATTGCCGTTTTGAATGAAAAAATTGAAACTTAGCCAACGCAGTAGCAGTTTATTGATGCCCCATTCTCAAAGAAACTAGCTGGACGGGAGGCAACAAAGTCATCAAAGGTATTTTGTACTGTCTCTCACGGATTGAATTTTTTTTCCCGCCAAGAAGTTATACAAGTACTGGAAAAGTAAAAGTAGAGAATCAAGCGATCCCCTGCCTGTGTCACTGCCAAGGAGACTTGAGTGAGCATGACAACTGCAAGCTGACGCAAATGCATTCTACTAGTCGAATTTAATTTAGTTAGTTATAGTTTGAAAGTGTACATTTGAACAACATGGCTGTACCTATCATTATTGGAACTCATAACATCAATGTTCAATGAGTTCCAATCATGTTAATATGTAAAATGTAATAATGACCGACCGAATCGACCTCATCGTTCGCTTGATAAAAATGACGTGTAAAAGTGCTGCCTTGTAGCCTATTTGCAGAAATAAATTCACTTGTTTCACTTGTTTCACTTAATGTTAAACCGTTATCCTGTGGAGCCGGAGCAGCCTATCGCCAAGCATTTTTATCCTCTCTTTCGTTTATCGTTTCGTTTTTTAATACATAATTTAAATTTTGTTTCATTTAAGTGTTGTATTTCTATCGCAATTTTGTTATAGCATTTAACACTGAATCCTTTAAATGACTTAAAATCACGTGCTTTTGTAAGATAAAGATAGACTCCCCCACACGTTTCTCCACAGTAAAATGCCATACGACATGATGTTGTGGAAGTATGTAACTGAAGTACACTAGTCTTGCTGTGTCTATTTCGGTTAACTGTCCAAACAGCATAAGCTGCAGAGCTCAATCGTCCCTCCAAAGATAAAGTAATGTGAGGACTCCATTGCAATTTGTCGTCTACAGTAATTGCGAGGAATGTAGTCTCTTTTAAAAATTCTAATTTCTGACTATTTAGTAATATGTCACATTCGTTACTTTTAACGTTTGGCAAAAGCAGTCTATCAAATAGAATCCAGTTTTCATCGCAGATAACAATGCGTTCAAAATTTCTTTATTTGTGTGTCTGTTGAGCTGTGCAAGTCACGTCTCGATGGGTACTTAGCGCTGGCGATCATGGAGTTCGTGGGGCACTCATTTGTCAAGCTTTTTCACCTTGCCAATTTGACGTAAATGGACCAATATTGTTTTGACGCTAACGGCGAGCTGCTGCTAATTCAGCCGTAGATTGTGTATCATGTGGCGGAGAACCTAACGGGTTAGTTTTTAGTCAGTAAGAGTCTGACACTCCCTCCCGCCTCACCCAGGCGGGAGCAGGCATTCGATGATGTTCCCCCTTAAAAAAAAGATTGTGTATCATCATCTTTCACAATCGCCTTTAATTCGTCATTGTGAGCAAGAGCAAGTAGGATTAACTGATGTTCCCGATCTTCATTATGAGTTGATACGTCTATATGTGCTTGGCAGGAACCATTGCAATAGGAACCATGGGCTCTTAGCAGTACCTACTTCCCGGACGGCTGCACCTGCGAAATCTCCAATTCCACTAGGGTAGGAGGTCTACCCGGATTGTAACTTCTTCAAGGATAAGTACAAGTCTCTAATGTCTGTTTGCCTGGTGTATTGTGAGCAGAACCACATATAAAAATGTTGTTATATCTCTGTTTTCTGATTATTATGTATATCATTTCCATATATTTATTTAAAATTTCTCTAAAGTTACATTTTTAAATACTACAGAATAAAAAAATAATATTTAAAAATATAAAAATAGGAGCCGACCAGTAGTGGGAGCATGGTCCAAGCTACCGGTGGTTAGAGCTCCAGAGACAGAAACCTCCTCACAATGCGCGCCGTTTCAAGGAGAACTGCCTTCTATATCAGGCCCTTGACCCAACTGCCTAACGCTAGCCTCCTAAGGTGGTTGTCGAGGCTATTAGGGATTAACCCATTGGCCGATACGACTATCGGCACAATGATAGCCGAATCTACATTCCACATGTCGACAACCTCGTGAGCCAAATCAAGATATTTGATTTGTTTATCTTTTTCAGCTTTCACGAGGTTCTCTTCATGAGGAATAGTGATATCAATATTATCATCGTGCGGCGCACATGTCTGTCTATCACCACTATATTATTGGCTATAATAGTCCTGTCAGTGATGATAGACCGGTCCGAGTATAATGTGATATGGTCATTTTCCAGATCTGGGTCGGGCACATACTTGCAGTAGGTACTTCTTGTATATCATTATTGTTATATATTATTCTATTTGTCTTTGTTTAACGTATATTCTGTGTGTCCAACTTTATTTAAAGTTTTGTAGTTTTACCATATCTTCTCATTTACTTTTAAAACTTTTTTATATTATGTACGTGTACCAGACGCCTCGACGACAGCAGCGACACGCCTTGAGCGCGGCAGGCCCGTGAACTACTAGTCCAAAGACTATTATATACTAGCTGTTTATGATTGGTCCGTCATATTTTGAGTAAAATTAATGTTTATCCCAAATGTATAAATAAAAGAGTAGACGTTCTAATAAATCATTCTGTTCCAAAACCTCACTCGCGTTTTACTTACCATCCCTTGGTAAATACCTATTTTAATTTAGTTTTCTTTTTTATAAATTGGGTAATTTAATTTGATTAATATTTATTATTATTTATTTATTTATTTTTATATCACTAAAGTATTATAAAATCTAAGCCCCACAAAACCGTTGCAATGATTTGACTGTGGGATCGAGTCGCTAGACATTACAATTTACGCCGACGACACGCTGGTGCTAGCGCACGGGAGGTCGCACCAGGCGGCGGCCGATTTAATGGCGACAGCGGTTGCGACAGTCGTTGAAAAAATCCGGCAGTTGGGACTCGAGGTGGCGCTCCACAAGTCCGAGGCCATGTGTTTTCATGGCCGCGGGAACGCGCCACCTCCGGGTGGGTCCCAAATAATGGCGGGAGGGGTTACCATCGGCGTCGAGACGACGATGAAGTACCTGGGACTCGTCCTCGACAGTCGGTGGAACTTCGTGGAGCACTTCCGACGTTTGGCTCCAAAGTTGGCGAGGGCGGGGGCTGCGTTTAAACGCATCCTCCCCAACCTCGGGGGGCCAAACGCCTCCTGCCGGAGGTTATACGCCGGGGTCGTGCGGTCCATGGCCCTCTACGGCGCCCCTGTTTGGGCGCCTAACCTGTTGCGGCGTCCCGCTCGGACGCTGCTCATGGCACAGAGGGTCATGGCGATCCGAATGATCCGCGGATACCGCACGATCTCTGGGGAGTCGGCGAACCTCCTTGCCGGATTACCGCCGTGGGATCTGGAGGCGAAGGTGCTCGCGCGCGTGCACAGCATGCGCGCGGAGGCACGTCGCCGGGGCGAAACTCCGCTGCCGCGCCAGATAAGTGCGTGGCGGGATGAGCTCCGGCGCGATCTCATGGCGGAATGGCAGCAACGACTGTCGCAACCGAGGGCTGGGCTCGCTGCCATCGCAGCGGTAAGTCCCCTCTTTGAGGAGTGGCTTGAGAGACGCTACGGCGTCCTCACCTACCGCCTGACGCAGGTCCTCACCGGACATGGAAGTTTCGGGAGGTACCTGTGTCTGATGGGGCGGGAGGAAACGCCCGGGTGTCATCACTGCGAGGACCGCCCTGAGGACACGGTGGAACACACGGTGGGAGAATGCCCTTCGTGGGCTGAGCACCGCCGTGTCCTCAGGGAAGTGATCGGCGATGGCGACCTCTCGCGTCCGGGCCTAGTGCAGGCCATGATGCGGAGCGAGGGGGATTGGGATGCCGTCTCCTCCTTTTGCGAAGCAGTCATGCTAGCTAAGGAGGAGGCGGGACGCGTGAGGCAGCGAAGCGCTGCCTCCTCGCAACCCAGCCATCGCGAAGGACACACCGGGCGTCGGGGATCGCGGGACGATCTCCGGCCACCGTAAGCGCGGGCCTGCGGACGGCGAGCATGGGTGGCTCCCCGTCCGACCAGAAACAGACCCGAGCGTACGGCGCGTCGCGTTCAGCGCGCGCCTCAAAGAGCCATCAGACCACCACAGATGGGGCCCAATAGGGCCGATGCCGATTCGGAGTCGCGGAGAACCTAACGGGTAACCGGGGCTCCGGCTCGACGTGCAGGAGAAGGAACGGGGTGCTTTTTAGTCAGTAAGAGTCTGACACTCCCTCCCGCCTCACCCAGGCGGGAGCAGTCATTCGATGATTTTCCCCCTTAAAAAAAAAAAGACATTACAATTAAATGTACTTATATTTAAATGTTATACAAGCGTTGAAACTTATACTTTATTGGTGTATACCGTGTTAATCAATAAACAATAAATAAATAACTTGTCGACCAAAGTCTTCGGACGACCGCGAGGTTCTTTTTTAAAGTCGAACTTTCCAGAACAGAAGCGATCAAACCAATAACAGACGGTGCGTTGGTTTGTAGTGTTAACTCTGTAAACGTCGTTAATGTTGCGTGCCAGTTGTGGCGCGTTGATGTCTCGACGATACTTATGTACCTTATAGTCAGAATTTTAATTAGATTCCAGATTTGACAATAGCTACTGTCATTTTGTGAAATAATGATACCACATATAATAGTGCAGTGATGAACACAAAAATCGATAAACAATCAGTGTATGTGTTTTATAATAAATGTTACAGAAAGTGACAGGATAGCGATAGCGATGACGACGAAAATTTATAAAATAACTTATTATCATAATACATCTATCTGTTTTATTTGTCATGTTCCTTCATGGTTACATTTTTTATTTATTTCACACACAATTATAAAAGAAAAGTCTCAGATCGTTAATTAATCGTCAAAACTAAATTATCGGTTCAGAAATATTTAATTTCCTGATATACTTAGTTTACAAGAGTAAAATTATAAACAAGAAGAATCGATCCAGTAATATTGCATTTCCATATCGAATAATTTAGCAACGTCACTATTTAGCACTTGTCATAACGTTGCAACACTGAAATTGTCAAATTTGGAATCGAATTAAAATTCCGAGTATAGTTATCGAATTTATAACGCATCCATGATGACGAAAAATATTGAAATAGGATGAAAAAATAACACTAATCAATTAATAATTACTACTTTTGGAAAGAAATTACGTTTTTTAAATAACATTAATTTGAAATTAGAATTATTAGCCTAAAAAAAATATACCTAATATTTTTTTTTTGTTGCTGTCAGTTCAAATCAATACTATTGATTGGCCAGTACCTACTGCAGAACAGAAATTTTATCGGCAGACCTAATATATATAGAAGGGAATACGTGGGAAATAAAACGTTCATATTTATCACTTCTTTGTGAAGTGTTTTGAATCTTTATTCATTTTACATTAACATTAATTAATTGGTACTCATACAAGTTATGCATAGCACACGTCTCCGCATATAAAATTCACAACAATGTAATTTTATCTATTCTCCACATTTAAATATGGGGGTCCAGCCCCCGTTACCTTAATACATATAAATCCTCAAACATGACCAACTTACATTAAACTCAATATAAATAGAAATCAGTTGGATTAGGTCTTGACTTGTCTACATTAACACAAACATGTACAAACCACTGCAAGAGACTAAGTAAACCCTGGGATAGGACGAAATCATTTCCACCGAAGGACAATCCCAAATCAAGATTAGATAATCATTAAAATCTAATTAAATTGAGCTAACTATAACAAAAATTAACTAATTTGATCATTAGAATTTGTTAGTAGGCGTATTACGTACGTTTTGGTAGGTTCACATAAATTATATGAGATTGAAGACCGCGACCTAATCAATACAGTACAACGACGGCGTAGCAAATCGAACTACGTAACAATATTGAAGTAGGTATTGTAAAACATTAACATTAGACCGCTATGTATTGACATTGAGCACGAGGAAGCGTATTTTATGATCTCATTACTATCGTAGTATCCACTATAGTACAACTCTTAAATACCAGCGTCATATAGACGAATACATCATTCAATAATCGCTATTACATATAATATATGTTAGACCTTATTCGAATACAATAAATTATTTTATTAAAGAAATATTCAAGTGTTCTAATATATCTATTAATAAATAACATTAACATTTATAATTGTTAAGTATAAAATGTTATAAAATATTCCCCAGGAATGAAACGAAAGTATCTACGTAGATTTATTGTTCAACAGTTACTTTTTATCAAATTTCATTCAAAAAATTTGGAATTTTGATATGATTGAGGCCGAAAGTGCGCACTACAAAAAGTTTTTTTTTATAAAAATAGGAATTCTTTGAAAGCTCAAGTGTATAAATGGACCAATTGTTCAATAGTATAACAATATAAGAAGTAGAGCAATACTTGTAAAGTTTGGTGCGATTCTTGTGGCGAGGGCATGAAGGCGAGGGCTTCAGATTGATACAGAATCCCAGATCCTAATAGATATTAAGATAAAATTCTTAAGAAACGCTTGCCCTCACTACTTACGAATCATATTCTACCAGTAACTAAATGTAAGGTGTTGTGAAGAGATACTGTCATGGGATGCAGTGAGAAATGATAGTAACACCGCTAACGAATGAAACATGGCCAATCAATAATATGGCACTTATATCACGGACATTGTAAAACATTATAACATTACACAATATGTAACTAAGATACATACCCGTGTATATGGCAACTTGAATACATTTGTGGATTACGCCGATTGTCCAGTGAATCCACAGACGACATACAGACATTATAGAGAAGCACAACATATTGTATTTTGTTTTTCTATTAATGTCATAAAATGCTTTATTTATTAGTAGATCATTACACGCCCTTACGAGGTCCGGACTTCGCGTATTCGATACGATAAAGTTCAGAGACAATAACGGCGAGTGTATAGTTCAGCACATCACTAGTAAACATCCTATCACACAAGTTAAAACATTAAGTACACACGAAGCCAGGTAAACTCATGCCATCTGTGGACAGATAATGAAATCCAATGATACATCGATGCAGTAAATATTTTGCATTCAATATTACCTAATAAATACGACTACTTAAAAAAGTAGATATCAACAATTATAATTTAAGTGATATCCACTCTAACACGGATATATTATAAGTATAAAATAAGCGTATTATCGGACTCATCCGTCAGGCAAGCTTGCCTATGATCCGTTTCAGACTTATAACGTTGACATCCATACTCGGTCCACTCGTGCGCAGCCGTGGCAGGCAGACAGACAGACAGACAGGCTCCTGCACGGGGGGACGGCGCGCGTGTAGCTGGGTCTGTGGGACCCGGGGCTGGGGCTCTACTCCTCGGTGGTGGTGGTGGTGGTGGTGG